GAATGCTCAGGACATGGATGTAGGCCAAAATGGTATTGATAACTACCATATCAGTTCCAATTCCTACTTTCATGTGCTCACTCGAAAACGCAGCGATGGCAAGAAATATCCTGAGCTGGTTCTAGACAGAGCTCTGGATAGAGAGGAGGAAGCTGAGCTCAAGTTAATCCTCACAGCTCAGGATGGCGGCTCGCCACCTAGGTCTGGCACCACTGAGGTCCACATTGAAGTCCTGGACTTCAATGACAATGCTCCCCAGTTTGAACAGCTTTTTTATAGGGTACAGATCCCAGAGGATAGTCCAATAGGCTTTCTGGTCGTCACCGTTTCCGCTACGGATAAGGACATAGGAGTCAATGGGGAGATCTCCTATTCACTTTTCCAGGCGTCAGATGACATCAGCAAAACCTTTTCGATCCACCCCTTGACTGGGGAGGTGCGACTGAGAGAGCAACTTGATTTTGAAAAGACTCAGTTCTATGAAGTCAATGTTGAGGCCAGGGACGCTGGAACCTTTTCTGGAAAATGCACGATTCTGACCCAAGTCATAGATGTGAATGACCATGCTCCAGAGATTATCCTGTCTGCATTTACCAACCCCATCCCTGAGAATTTGCCAGAAACTATGGTGGCAGTGTTTAGTGTATCTGATCTAGATTCAGGAGAAAACGGCAAAACAAGTTGTTCCATTCAGGACGATCTACCTTTCTTCCTAAAGCCTTCTGGAGAAAACTTTTACACACTATTAACACAGAACGCACTTGATAGAGAGACTACGGCAGAATACAACATCACCATCAGTGTTGCAGACATGGGGAGTCCCATACTGAGAACACAAGTCAATATAACAGTGCAGGTCTCAGACATCAACGACAACGCCCCCACCTTCACTCAAACCTCCTACACACTCTTTGTTCAAGAGAACAACAGCCCCGCCCTGCACATAGGCACCATCAGCGCCACAGACTCAGACTCAGGCTCCAATGCCCACATCACCTACTCGCTGCTGCCCACTCACGACCCGCAGCTGGACCTCTCCTCGCTCATCTCCATCAACGCCGACAATGGGCAGCTCTTCGCGCTCAGGGCGCTGGACTACGAGGCCCTGAAGACCTTCGAGTTTCATGTGGGAGCCACGGACCAAGGCTCGCCCGCGCTCAGTAGCCAGGCGCTGGTGTGCGTGCTGGTGCTGGACGCCAACGACAATGCGCCCTTCGTGCTCTACCCGCTGCAGAATGCCTCTGCGCCCTACACAGAGCTGCTGCCCAGAGCGGCTGAACCTGGCTATCTGGTCACCAAGGTGGTGGCTGTGGACCGCGACTCGGGACAGAATGCCTGGCTGTCATTCCAGCTGCTCAAGGCCACGGAGCCAGGGCTGTTCAGCGTGTGGGCTCACAATGGCGAGGTGCGCACCTCCAGGCTGCTGAGTGAGCGCGATGCACCCAAGCACAGGCTGCTGCTGGTGGTCAAGGACAATGGCGATCCTCCGCGGTCTGCCAGTGTCACTCTGCATGTGCTGCTGGTTGATGGCTTCTCTCAGCCCTACCTGCCTCTGCCTGAGGTGGCGCGAGACCCCGCCCAAGATGAGGATGAGCTCACGCTGTACCTGGTTATTGCCTTGGCATCTGTGTCTTCTCTCTTCCTCTTGTCTGTTCTGCTGTTTGTGGGTATGAGGCTGTGCAAGAGGGCCAGAGCATCCTCTCTGGGTGGCTGCTCTGTGCCTGAAGGACACTTTCCTGTCCACCTGGTGGATGTCAGTGGGGCAGGGACCCTGTCCCAGAACTACCAGTATGAGGTGTGTCTGACAGGGGACTCTGGAACTGGTGAGTTCAAATTCCTGAAACCAATTTTACCTAATTTCCAAGACCATCCTCTTGGACCAGAAATCGGTGAAAATTCCGACTCTAGAAACGACTGGGGTTTCAGCATTCAGTTAAAATAGCTTTTTTTTTTTATCATGTGTAGCGTGTTGTTGTTGTTATTAGCTCAAACTACTATTTTTGATGTGCCCATCGTGAACATTTGAAGCCTGCCGAAAGCTTGTTTGTAGCATATTCCGGCCGTCGTTTTAGTGAGGCTGTCTCATCTTTAATCCAGATCGAAGATGAAATGTTCTAATCTTGTCTTTCTAACGTGTCTCTTTTCGTACAAATCTTGCTGTGGGATAGCTTAGGAATGTACAAGAAAGGAAGTGGAAAATCCTTTCAGCCCAATCCAACGCAGCTCAGTGTGTGTGCTCTTCCCAGTTGTTAGCCATCGAGTACACAATACACAGCATTGCTCGGATGCAAGGAGATCTAATCAGAAATGGGAACGAAGGGGCACTGAGGGGCCTGGCTTTTGCTTTATTCGGCCTCCACTGGACTAACTTTGATGTTGGTGTTGTTGTTAAAAAATGTTCCCTAGCTGCATGTCTCTTCATTAGCCTGTTGTTGCTTTTAATATCACTGTCTTAAACTGCTTTCTGCTGCGTTTTGTTGGTACGGAGGAGGATTCAGAAAGCCTTCCCCTATTTTCCTGGTAAGCTGAAATAGTGTGGCTGTAAAATTGGCTTTTCTCTTCTGAGAAATATTTGCACATACCAATATTCACTCTTTTCCCCTTTAGTTTTTTGCATTTTGTTTTTGTGTTTGTTTGTTTATTTGTTTGTTTGAGACAGAGTTTCTCTGTGTAACAGTCCTGGTTGTCCTGGAACTCAATTTGTAGACCAAGTTGAGTACCACTGATATTTCAATCTCCAAGAACACTATTAAAGGGAGATGTCTCATGTGAAACTTGATTTTCACCTTTTTGACCTGAAATGTGATTCTCAACCTGTGGGTCTCTATCCCTCTGGGGTCACATATCAGATATCTTGCCTACCAGATACTTACATTAATATTTACAACAGTAGCAATATTACAGTTATGAAGTAGCCGCAAAATAATTTTATGGGTGAGGGACACCACAACATAAGGAACTGTAAAGGGTCACAGCATTATTAGAAGGTTGAGAACCACTGCTTTACCACTGTGTCCTCCCTGGGATGTGTACAGTGTGCTGAGTGCACAGATCACCCTGGAGGATCTGGGATAGCAATGGAGGGATAAAATAGTGGGGGATGAGCTTAAAAGAGACAGCATCCCTGGTGACTAAGGAGTTGTCACATCATTCCCTGTGCTGCCCATTTCTGATTATATGTAGGTGTGTCTGCATGCGGGTATGCACATATGAGTGCAAGTACCCTCAGAGGACAGAGGCATTGGATCCCTTTGATCTGGAGCACAGAAGGCTCTGAGCTGCCTGTCCTAGATTTTGAAGACCAAACTCAGGTCCTCTGCAAAAGCAACAAGTACTCTCAACCACAGAGCAGTCTCTCCAGACCTTACTTTCATTATATTTTAAATATTTTCCCAAACCCTATGTGGGTTACAATTATTCCTGTGTGTGTGTGTGTGTGTGTGTGTAGCAATATCACTTGTTGTCAAATGAAGATACATAAAAATCATTATAACAAGAGTTTAGGTTTCATTGGCTTGAGGAACCCAACTAACAACTTCTAGAGCCCTTAGCAAAACAATGAATTAATAAGGGTATCAAGGATATCAATGTCTATGTGGTACTGAAGTTCAAATCCTGAGTCTCGTGCATGTTAAATGTGCTCTATCACTGAACTTCCTGCCCTGCCCTTCGTGAATTTTCACTGCAATTCAATTCAAACTATAAGAACAGAAAATCTAAATAAAAGAATACAAAGATAATCCAAACTTTCAATATAGAATTTAAACTCTATTTTTAAATTTAAATAGAATTTAATATAAGTTTAAATCTATTTTAAACTCTCAGTATTGTTATTAAAAGATGAACAATTCAATTAAACAAAGACCAGAATAGATATTTTCTGAAAAAGATATACCAATGATTAGTATGCACCCAAAAAGCTATACAACATTGCTCAGCAAATAAACATCACAGCAAGACACTCAGAACTCCTAGGATGGCAAGGACCAAAAAGAGCCAAATCAGTGTTGGGAGGTTGTCATAATTTTGAAACCCTGACACACAACTGAAGAAATGGAAAATGCTGCAGCCATTTTTTTTAAAAACATTCTGTCAGTTTTTCAAATGGACAAACATAGAGCTCATCATGGGTTAAGCAATTCAACTCCTAGAGAAATAATGTATGTTCACATAAAATATATACATGAGGTGGGCTGTGGTGGTGCTCACTTTTAGGGATCCAGAGGCAGGTAGATCTAAGTTTGAGGCCAGCCTGGTCTACAGGCCTAATTCCAGGACATCCAAGACTACACAGAGAAACTCTATCTCAGAAAACCAAATGTGTGTATACATATATGATTCTTCATAGCAACATTGTTTGTGAAAAGCAAAAGGGTAGAACGATTCCAAATGCCCAAATAAACATGAGCCTGCTATATCCAGGAAAAGTAATGAAATACTGACACATGCTAGAATTTGGACGAACCTTTAAACCATCAGGGCAAGGGAGGGAAGCTGACCAGCCTCAAAGGTCCACATATTCTGTCATTCCATTAGTATGGAAGTCTACAATAGAGAACTCTGTCTAGACCAAAAGAGGAGACTAATGGTTCCTTTGGGCTCTGCTCAGGAGAAACGAGAAAATAAGATGATCGTTAAGGGATGTGAGGTACTTCTTTGATGTAAGATATACAGTCCAGAACTGACCTTGGTAATGGGTGCACCACTTTGTGTATATATTAAAAGGCTCTAAGTTTTAAACCTTAAAAGAATGCATTCAATTATATGTTATATCCCAAAGATGTATATTAGAAAACGCAAGAATTATTCTTGCCAAATATAAAAATCAATCCAGGCCCACATAAGTCTATTTATGAAATGATTTTCTGGTAACTGAACATTGGGAAGACTTACAATTCTTTCCCTTGGATGTTCAGAGAAGGAATCCATTTGTTCCTTAATAAAGCACGTCTACACTCTATACACTGGCTGGAATTTTGCATTGTCTACTCATTTGTGACTCTACTGTGTATGTTGAAAATGTGTGTACGTGAAACATTCGCCGTGCTACCTTCGAAACTTTACCCCTCGATGCAAATGTTGCTTACGCTACCTTATTTAGTCATTGACATCGGCAGCGTTACATACCCAATACCATGAATGAAAACTTATTTTTGTATTTAGTTTCATATAATACCTCAGTAATGTACTTATACACACAAAAGTAACTTGAAAAAAGTTAGTGATTCCTATTATATAACTTAGTCCACATGTCTTGGAGAATTTTGTCTCTTGTTAAATCTGAACCTGTAAGGGCCAGTGAGACCGCGCGGTGGCGCTGCAGGTTAAGAAGACAGAGCATAGGAATTGCTTCTGCAATCGCCTTTTCAGGGCCAGTTTCTCACCACCTAGAAGCAAAAGATAAGCTCTTCCGGCAAAGCAAAGGCGCGTGTAAACCTTAAATATTCGATTTGGAGGCTTGATTCTGACTTTCTGGACTGTGAGACAGTGCTGTTAGGATCCTGGGCATACGTGAAGCTACTGTGGAGCAAACAGGAAAGAGGAAAGAGCCATGGAGACTGCGCGGATGCACAAACTGAGACAAAGGCAAGTCCTGGCTTTCTTTGTTTTGCTGAGTGTGTCTGAGGCAGGCAGGGAGCTCGGTCCCTATTCCATAGAGGAAGAGATGGAGAGGGGCTCCTTTGTGGCAAATCTTGGGAAAGATCTGGGAGTGGAACTGGCAGAGATATCCACCCGCAGGGCTCGGATCATTTCCCGGGAAAACAGAGAGCACCTGCAGCTCAATGTTCAGTCTGGAGATTTGCTCATAAGTGAGAAGCTAGATCGAGAGGAGCTATGCGGCTCCACTGAGCCCTGTGTTCTGCACTTCCAAGTGTTAATGGAAAACCCTTTGGAGGTATTTCAGGCTGAACTGAGGGTGAAGGACATAAATGACCATTCTCCAGTGTTCACTGAAAAAGAAATGATGCTGAGGATACCAGAAAACAGTCCTCTGGGAACCACATTCCCTTTAAATAATGCTCTGGACTCAGATGTAGAAATCAACAATATTCAGAGCTATCAAGTCAGCTCCAACTCTCATTTCCTGGTTGTCACCCGCAACCGCAGTGATGGCAGGAAGTACCCAGAGCTGGTGCTGGAGAAAGAACTGGATCGGGAGGAGGAGCCTGAGCTGAGGTTAACCCTGATAGCCTTGGATGGTGGCTCTCCTCCCCGGTCTGGGTTGGCGCGGGTTCTCATTGAAGTAGTGGACATCAACGACAATTCTCCCGAGTTTCAGCAGTCAACTTACCAAGTGCAAATTCCGGAGAACCTCCCTCCGGGGTCCCTGGTCGTCACAGTCTCAGCCAATGACTTAGACAGTGGAGATAATGCGAAAGTACTGTACGCACTCTCTCAGCCTTCAGAAGATATCAGCAAGACATTAGAAGTAAATCCAGTAACGGGGGAAGTTCGGCTAAGAAAAGAGGTAGATTTTGAAACAATTCCCTCTTATGAAGTGGATATCAAGGCCACGGATGGGGGAGGTCTCTCGGGAAAATGCACGCTGCTCCTGCAGGTGGTGGATGTGAACGACAACCCCCCAGAAGTGATGCTATCTGCACTTAACAGCCCAGTTCCAGAAAACTCTCCGGATGAGGTAGTTGCTGTTTTCAGTGTTAGAGATGCTGACTCAGGGAACAATGGGAAGGTGGTTTCCGCCATCCAGGAGGACCTTCCTTTTCTTCTAAAACCTTCAGGAAAGAAGTTTTACACTTTAATAACGAAGAGAGCGCTAGACAGGGAAGAAAAAGAGCAGTACAACATTACCATAACAGCCACCGACCTGGGCACACCCCGGCTCACATCCCAGCACACCATAACAGTGCAGGTCTCTGACGTCAACGACAACGCCCCCGCCTTCACTCAAAGCTCCTACACCCTGTTTGTCCAAGAGAACAACAGCCCTGCCCTGCACATAGGCACCATCAGCGCCACAGACTCAGACTCGGGCTCCAATGCCCACATCACCTTCTCGCTGCTGCCAACCCAGGACTCACAACTGGACCTGTCCTCGCTCATCTCCATCAATAGCGACAATGGACAGCTGTTCGCGCTTAGGGCACTGGACTATGAGGCCCTGCAGAGCTTCGAGTTCCTCGTGGGTGCCACAGACCAAGGCTCGCCCGCTCTCAGTAGCCAGGCGCTGGTGTGCGTGCTGGTGCTGGATGCCAACGACAACGCACCCTTCGTGCTCTACCCGCTGCAGAACGCCTCTGCGCCCTACACAGAGCTGCTGCCCAGGGCAGCGGAGCCAGGATACCTGGTCACCAAGGTGGTAGCTGTGGACCGCGACTCGGGTCAGAATGCCTGGCTGTCATTCCAGCTGCTCAAGGCCACGGAGCCCGGACTGTTCAGCGTGTGGGCTCACAATGGCGAGGTGCGCACCTCCAGGCTGCTGAGTGAACGCGATGCGCCCAAGCACAGGCTGCTGCTGGTGGTCAAGGACAATGGCGATCCTCCGCGGTCTGCCAGTGTCACTCTGCAGGTGCTGCTGGTGGATGGCTTCTCTCAACCTTACCTGCCTCTGCCTGAGGTGGCGCGCGACCCTGCCCAAGATGAGGATGCGCTCACGCTGTACCTGGTCATTGCCTTGGCATCTGTGTCTTCGCTCTTCCTCTTGTCTGTGCTGCTGTTTGTGGGGGTGAGGCTATGCAGGAGGGCCAGGGCGTCCACTCTGGGTGGCTGCTCTGTGCCTGATGGCCATTTTCCTGGTCACCTGGTGGATGTCAGCGGGGCAGGGACCCTGTCCCAGAGCTACCAGTATGAGGTATGTCTGATGGGCGATTCTTCTGGGACCAGCGATTTTAAATTATTACAGCCAGTTCTTCCTAGCTCCTTGGCCCAGTCCTCTGGGAAAGAAATGGTGGAAAATTCTACCCTCCAGAATAGTTTTGGATTTAATCATTATTAGAAAACTACTTAGTAGATATTTACTTCCTAATATTGTCTTGTTGGTTAGCTATATTTTGTATACCTGTTACTAACAATTTTAATTTTCACTTTACTCATTGGTTTTCAGGTTTATGCTTAATGTCATGGTTTTACTCTCATCTATCGCACAGAATTTCTTCATGGGATCCCAGTAAATGAGAAGGCTTTGTCTGCACAGTTAAACTGATTGTTAAAATTGTTTCTACCACTTTGGTTTTGTTGGCTTCATTAGTTCTGCACACTTCATGCCAGGGTTCTGTTCCTAGACTTCTTGAATTCTTAGAATATTATGCTGCTTGTTGTGTTCATATATACTAGGTATTTCTGCATTTCCTTTCTATACTGGAAGTCTTGTTTTTTAGTCCTTGGTTCTCATTATATAAAATAGTTGTTTTCTACTATGCTAGTATATTAAAGTTCTATTTTTCTTTGTTTATATATCTTGATTTAAGATCTATTTATGTCAAAGTAATAGAAGCATGTAGTCAATCTGAAAACAAAAGTATCATAAGATAGTGAGTTTGTGTTGATTGACTTTATTTGTGGGCGTGAAGGCAAATGTTGGCATTATAAAGCATCAAATAAGAGCATTTAATAATTTGTCTTATTACTATACATTACTATAAATTACTAAATAATTTGTCTTAATTCTGCATGGAAACCTTAGAGATAGACATTGAGTTTTCAATGGCTTACAATCCAGTTGCATTCTTTTGAATAAACAGTGTATTATATCACCAAGTACCTGTTGTGACTTTTCTATGCAACAGAGCTGGGGTCTGAGGCACTATCTAATCTTGTACACGTACACGTCTTAAGGTTTAGTCTCTATCATTTGCTTATAGTGGAAAAGAGAACATTTTAGGCCTTTGAGTAAAATTCTTTGTAAGGAAGATATTTTATTGATATACCCCTGCATTCAGCATCATTAGAATATGTGGTAGTCATAGTTTTGTTCTTCTTTTATTTCATGTATAGTAACTAGATCGTATTAGATTTCATTAAGAGCGACATTTAAACAAAGATGGGGCTTTCGTTCAGCTGTATAATGATGACTGTTATAAGAATAAAGACAAATGAAAGAACAGGAATAGAAATTTCAAAGTATGAGTAAGTGAAATAATATGATTTTCGAATGATAGGTACTGGACATTGCCTGTTTCTTGTCCTCCTTATAGTTCATTCGTGTGTATTCTGACTCAATAAACATTAGTGACTGAATGACTTGCCAAAGATAACAGTTCCCGTCTCAAGCAGATCACACATTGAAGGAGAGGTAGACTCTTACAAAGCTGGAAGCAATGTTATTTACATAATAAACAAAATCCTGTGCATGTCACTTGGTAGTACGCATCCTGGGGCCCTGAGGGGGGTTGGTATGATCGTCCAGTTCTGAAGGCAGAGTACTGCTTTGTTTTAAGGAATGTGATACGGTTTAAATAAGGTTTCTGAGGAATGTGCCAAACATCTCTTTTGCCTGTTTCTTGTGTCCCTTGCTGCGGTTTCCAGAACTATGAAATATGTTATCAAAAGACAAGTTCACAATTTTTCCTTTGCTTGCACGAGGCTGTGCCGGAGACGAAAGGACTTACATGGAGTTAAGTAGCAAAGAAAAAAAGGGAGTGCCATAAACCTTCAGTTCAACTGTTAGAATTTTAACTTTCCCACGCAGCTGAGAAGACTCAGTATGAATGGATCTCTATCTCAGCATAATTTTCACAAAACAAAGAAAAGGAAAATGGAAAATTAAAATAAGCCAACGCAGAAAATATTTAATAAATATATATGCGTGAACACATAAAACCAGGAAACAGCATTTTTCAATCTGTTGGTGGCCACATGGTGGCGCTGCAGGCTAAAGAGACGCAAGGAAAATTTAATTGAGGCTGCACCCGAAGTCACAAGACAAAAAAGGAAAATCCTGACCACTGGGACAAAAGCTGAGGCTCCTCAAGACTGAGGAAGGAAGAAAATATCCTAGATCCTTCCATCTAAGTGGAACGTCTGAGGTTTATGACTGCTGAGAGCTGTGGCTGGGACCTGTAGTGGGTAAAGAAGAAACAATGGCAGCCAGAGGGTCACGCTTCCCCAGACAAAGGCAAGTGCTATTATTTCTCTTTCTGTTCTGGGAACTGTGTTGGGCAGGCTCTGAGTTTGCACGTTATTCTGTAACCGAGGAAACAGAAAGGGGATCCTTTGTGGCGAATCTGGCAAAGGAACTGGGGCTAGGGGTGGAAGCGCTGGCTGCAAAGAGAACTAGGGTGGTTTCTGATGATAACAAACAGCGTTTGCTCCTGGATTTTCACACTGGAGATTTGCTCACAAATGAGAAACTGGACCGGGAGAAGCTGTGTGGCTCCACAGAGCCCTGCATACTCTATTTCCAAATTTTAATGGATAACCCCTTTCAGATTTACCGGGCTGAGCTGAGAATCGTGGATATAAATGATCACTCACCCGCCTTTCAGGACAAAGAGATGATTTTAAAAATACCAGAAAGCACAGCCGTAGGAGCAGCATTTCGATTACAAAGAGCACTAGACTCAGATGCAGGACGCAATGGCATCCAAAACTACACCATCAGCCCCAACTCGCCTTTTCATATTACAATTCATGACAGCGACGAAGGGGTGATATACCCAGAGCTGGTGCTAGAAAAACCTCTAGATTGGGAAGAAGAGCGGGAGTTCAGTTTAATACTCACCGCATTTGACGGCGGGTCTCCGCCCAGGTCAGGAACAGCCACTGTACGTATTCTGGTCTTGGACATCAATGATAATGCCCCGCAGTTTTCCCAGGAACTTTATCAAACCCAGGCTCCAGAAAATAGCCCCGTAGGACTTCCTCTTGTTAAAGTCTCTGCAGAAGATGTGGACTCAGGAGTCAATGCAGAAATATCCTATTCGTTTTTTGATGCTTCCGAAGATATTCGAGCAACCTTTCAAATCAACCCTTTCTCGGGGGAAATTGTGCTCAAAGCCTTGCTTGATTATGAGTTAGTAAAGTCCTATAAGTTAAATATACAGGCAGTTGATGGTGGAGGCCTTTCTGCTAGATGTACGGTTTTAGTTCATGTTTTAGACATCAATGACAACTCCCCAGAACTGATCATATCATCACTAGTCAACGAAGTTGTTGAGAACTCTCCCGAAACCGTGCTGGCAGTTTTTAGGATCAACGACAGAGACTCTGGAGAAAATGGAAAGACCGTTTGCTACATTCAAGAAAATCTGCCTTTCCTTCTAAGACCTTCTGTAGACAATTTTTACATCCTAATGACAGAAGGAGCTCTGGATAGAGAGACCAGATCACAATACAACATCACTGTCACAGTCACGGACATGGGCACACCCAGGCTCATGACCCAGCACACCATAACAGTGCAGGTCTCTGATGTCAACGACAACGCCCCCGCCTTCACACAAAGCTCCTACACCCTCTTGGTCCAGGAGAACAACAGCCCCGCCCTGCACATAGGCACCATCAGCGCCACAGACTCAGACTCAGGCTCCAATGCCCACATCACCTACTCGCTGCTGTCCACCCAAGACCTACAGCTGGACCTATCCTCGCTCATCTCCATCAATGCCGACAATGGGCAGCTGTTCGCGCTCAGGGCGCTGGACTACGAGGCCCTAAAGACCTTTGAGTTTCGCGTGGGCGCCACAGACCAAGGCTCGCCCGCGCTCAGCAGCCAGGCGCTGGTGCGGGTGCTGGTGCTGGACGCCAACGACAATGCGCCCTTTGTGCTCTACCCTCTGCAGAACGCCTCTGCGCCCTTCACAGAGCTGCTGCCTAGGGCGGCAGAGCCAGGATACCTGGTCACCAAGGTGGTGGCTGTGGACCGCGACTCGGGACAGAATGCCTGGCTGTCGTTCCAACTTCTCAAAGCCACGGAGCCAGGGCTGTTTAGCGTATGGGCTCACAATGGCGAGGTGCGCACCTCCAGGCTGCTGAGTGAGCGCGATGCGCCCAAGCACAGGCTGCTGCTGCTGGTCAAGGACAATGGCGATCCTCCGCGATCTGCCAGTGTCACTCTGCATGTGCTGCTGGTGGATGGCTTCTCTCAGCCCTACCTGCCTCTGCCTGAGGTGGCGCGCGACCCTGCCCAAGATGAGGATGCGCTCACGCTATACCTGGTCATTGCCTTGGCATCTGTGTCTTCGGTCTTCCTCTTATCTGTGCTGCTGTTTGTGGGGGTAAGACTGTGCAGGAGGGCCAGGACATCCTCGCTGAGGGCCTGCTCAGTGCCGGAAGTACATTTTCCTGGCCACCTGGTGGATTTCAGCGGCATGGGCACCCTGTCCCAAAGCTACCAATATGATGTGTGCCTGATGGGAGGCTCTTCTGATACCAATGATTTCAAGTTCCTGAAACCAATAATACATCCCGATGTTCATGCTCATGGCTCCCAGAGCAATGGTGAAGAAAAGCCCATATTTTGATGTCTCTACTTTTGAGTATGTTTCATCCATTTAATGTATGGTACAGCCATATGAATGCTAGTTTAGTTGTGCAGTAGTTGCAACTCAAGACAACCCAACTTCATTTTCAACTTCCAAGTAGGTCACGTTTACATTCTTCCAATGTTTTTACAGTAGTGATTACTTTTAATAGACTATGTACCACTTTAAGTTTTAGATTTGGTTCTTTCATAGCTCACAATAATTTGATGTTATTTCTCATTACAGAAAATTGAGATTTGGGGGTTTTATTGTTTTCTTTTATTTTCTTTTCTTGCTAATCACTAATCCAAGTGTTTTGCATGCTAAGCAAGTGCTCTGCCATTGAGCTCTACCTCTAGCTAGTCATTTTTTAAAAGTCTAGTATTTTAACTCTTTGACTTTGACAATTTCATGCATCTATGTCACGCATTTTGTTTTTTATAACCTCCTTGCTCCTTCCCCATTGTTTATGATTTTGAATATTCTGATGATTCCCATGCTAGCATACTATTTAATGGGTTTCAGCATGACTTCCGCAAACAGAGGTTTCATTCATTCCTAACTTCTGCTGTTCCCCTGGTTCCCTTCCTTCTCCCTGCAGGTCCCCCATTCTGCTTTCTGTCACAGCTATTTCATTACCCTTTCTCTCCTTCCTCAAGAGCTCTTTCTGGTGTTCATGCTTGCTGTCATATAAAACAGATTGTGTCATATAATAAAATACAGTGTAATAATCTGCATGAAAATCAACATAAATTTGAACACACTTACATTTCTGTGTGGTAATATTTATGGACTGTTGGAAACATACTTTTCATTTTATATTGATACTTAAAGAACTGTCCAGTTTAGAAATCGAGATAAATTAAAGGTTATAGAAAAATAATTTTGATCTCCAGCCCCTTTCTACACAGTTCTTCAAGTGTGATCTGCTTCCAGGTGATGTGTTTAGACGGCTTTATCTTGATAGTCAACTTTTATGTGTTACCCACTCGTTACAAAAGGATTTACAGTTCTTATTTCCCATTAATAGACACACACACAAAAGGTGTGTATTTCCTTTCTCCTCGTTTCCTGGTATAATTCTCAGAAAGTGTTGCCAGTTTTGTTTCTGTGGGCTTCTATGGATCAAAACCAAGACTACTAGATGAGTACCATCTCTGAAATAAAACTAATATTAATGTCCATCTAGCTGGGTCTCTTATGTACACTTAGTAGTGCAGTATAATTATATTTCCTTTCTTGAAAACATCTTTCCCAGACCTGATAGCTGCCCTTAGATTTGGCTAAATTTCCATT